AGTGCCCCCACAATGCCACCCAGTGCCTCCCAACCCCCTCCCAGTGCCTCCCAGTGCCCCTCACTCCCCTCCCAGTGCCCTTCCTGTGTGTCCCAGTGCCTCCCAATCCCCTCCCTGTGCCTCTCACTGTCTCCCAAACCCCTCCCAGTGTGTCCCAGTTTGTCCCAGTGCCTCTCTCACCTTCTCCATTGCTCTCTGTGCCCTCCAGATGTGGCTCCTGGGCCGTCCTCACATCTGGGCCCTCCCTGGGGTGCCCAGGCCCAGTTTGGCGGCGCCGGGGTCGGACAACATCTGGATCTGTGGCCTCCACATCTGGAGCTCGGAGCTGGTTTGGGGTCCTTCGGGGTCTCTTGGGGGGCCCAACATCTGGATTTGGGCTCTCCACTGCCACATCTGGAGCTTCAGGTCCCTTTGGGGTTGTTCTGGATCTTGTGGTGGGCCTAACATCTGGATTTGAGGCCCTCGCCTTCACATCTGGAGCTTGGAGCTGGTTTAAGGCTCTCTTGGCTCTCTTTGGGGCTCCAACATCTGGATTTGAGGCTCCTGCCTCCATGGAGTCTCCAGCCCCTTTGGAGCTCTTTTAGTCCTTCTGGTGGGCCCAACATCTGGATTTGGGGGCTGTGGCTCCACATCTGGAGCTTCAGACACCTTGGGGGCTGTTCTGGACCTTCTGGTGGGCCCAACATCTGGATTTGAGGCCTTTGCCTCCACATCTGTCTCAGTGCCCACCACAGCTGCCCTGAGACCCCTCTGAGACCTCCTAACCCCTGGATTTGGGCTCTCCACCACCACATCTGGAGCTTCAGACACATTTGGGGCTGTTCTGGACCTTCTGGCCGGTCCAACATCTGGATTTGAGGCCTTTGCCTCCACATCTGTCCCAGTGTGCCCCAGAGGTGCCCTGAGACCCCTCTGAGACCTCCTAACCCCTGGATTTGGGCTCTCCACCACCACATCTGGAGCTTCAGACACATTTGGGGCTGTTCTGGACCTTCTGGCCGGTCCAACATCTGGATTTGAGGCCTTTGCCTCCACATCTGTCTCAGTTTCCCCCACAGCTGCCCTGAGACCCCTCTGGGACCTCCTAACCCCTGGATTTGGGCTCTCCACATCTGGAGCTTCAGGCCCCTTGGGGGCCATTCTGGACCTTCTGGTGGGCCCAACATCTGGATTTGAGGCCTTTGCCTCCACATCTGTCTCAGTGTGCCCCAGAGGTGCCCTGACGACCTTCTTCTGGACCTTCTGGTGGGCCCAACATCTGGATTTGAGTGGAGCTTCAGGCCCCTTGGGGGCCATTCTGGACCTTCTGGTGGGCCCAACATCTGGAGCTTCAGACACCTTGGGGGCTGTTCTGGATCTTCTGGCGGGTCCAACATCTGCATTTGGGGGCTCTGACTCCACATCTGGAGCTTCAGGTCCCTTTGCGGTTCTTCTGAATCTTCTAGAAGGTCCAACATCTGGATTTGAAGCCTTTACCTCCACATCTGTCTCTGTGTCCCCCAGAGGTGCCCTGAGACCCCTCTGGGACCTCCTGACCCCTGGATTTGGGCTCTCCACCACATCTGGAGCTTCAGACACCTTGGGGGCTGTTCTGGATCTTCTGGCGGGTCCAACATCTGCATTTGGGGGCTCTGACTCCACATCTGGAGCTTCAGGTCCCTTTGGGGTTCTTCTGGATCTTCTAGAAGGTCCAACATCTGGATTTGAAGCCTTTACCTCCACATCTGTCTCTGTGTCCCCCAGAGGTGCCCTGAGACCCCTCTGGGACCTCCTGACCCCTGGATTTGGGCTCTCCACCACATCTGGAGCTTCAGGTCCCTTTGGGGTTCTTCTGGATCTTCTAGAAGGTCCAACATCTGGATTTGGGCTCTCCACCATCACATGTGGAGCTTCAGGTCCCTTTGGGGTTCTTCTGGATCTTCTAGAAGGTCCAACATCTGGATTTGGGCTCTCCACCATCACATGTGGAGCTTCAGGTCCCTTTGGGGCTGTTCTGGATCTTCTGGTGGGCCCAACATCTGAATCTGACACCTTCACCTCCACATCTGTCTCAGTGTCCCCCAGCAGTGCCCTCTGACCCCTCCGTGACCTCCTAACATCTGGATTTGGGGTCTCCACCACCACATCTGGAGCTGCAGGTCCCTTTGGGGCTGCTCTGGATCTTCTGGTGGGTCGAACATCTGGATTTGGGGTCTCTGCCCTCACATTTGAAGTTTCAAGGACCTTAAGGGTTGGTTTGGGTCTCAGGGAGGCTAAAACATCTGGACTGACCTCCTCTTCCTCCACACCTGTGTTGCTGCCAACCACCAGGAGCCTTTGGGCTCTGTGCCCGACAACATCTGGATTTGGGGTCTCTGCCACCACATCTGGAGTCTCAGGTAGGTTTGGGGTCCCTCTGCTTGTTTTGGGGGCTCCAACATCTGGCTCTGGCACCTTCCTCCCCACATCTGGAGTCTCAGGTACATTCAGAGCCACCCTGGCCCTGCTGGAGGGCCCAACATCTGGCTCTGGCCCCTCCTCCTGCACATCTGTGTGGCAGCTCCCTGGCAGGGCCCAACCCCCTCCAACATCTGGATGGGAGGGGTAGGCCTGGGTGGCCTCATCTGGATCTGGTTCCTCCTCCTCCTCCTCTTCCACATCTGTGTCGCTGTCCAACACCAGGAGCCTCTGGTGTCTACTCCTGGGCCGGGCAACACCTGGATTTGGGCTCTCCATCACCACATCTGGAGATCCAGGCACCTCTGGGGCTGCTCTGGGGCTCTCTGGGGCTCCAACATCTGCATCTGCCTCCTCTTCCTCCTGCACATCTATATCAGTGTCCACCACCAGTGCTCTGGGAGCCCCCTGGGGCCTCCCAACATCTGGATTTGGGGCCTTCCCCCCCACATCTGGAGTCTCGGGCACCACCAGGGCCATTTCAGGGGGTTTGGGGCCCCCAACAGCTGGATCTGTCTCCTCATGCACATCTGGAGGGAGCAAGAACAGCTGGGTGGACACATCTGGGTCCAGTTCCTCCTCCTCCACATCTGTCTCACTGTCCACCCCCAGTGTGCTCTGGGGTGGATTTGGGGCCTCCTCCCCCACATCTGGAGCCTCGGGCAGGTCTAGGGGCACTCTCGGGCTCCTCGGGGCTCCAACATCTGGACCTGGTCCCTCCTCCTCCCCCACATCTGTCTCACCGTTCACTGCCCAGGGCCCCTCAACATCTGGAGGGGGCAGGAACAGCTGTGTGGCCACATCTGGATCCGGGGAGGATGTCCTGGGGCTCGTCAGCCCCTCCACAACATCTGGAGCTTCAAGGGCCACCCGACGCCTCTTTGGCAGGGAAACATCTGGATCTGGCTCCTCCTCCTCCTCCTTGTTGTCATCCCCAGGCAGGACCTGCCCCTGGGCCACATCTGGAGAGGGGAGGAACAGCTGGGTGGCCACATCTGGATCCAGTTCCTCCTCCACATCTGTCCCACTGTCCCCCCCGAGGCTCCCTGGGCCGTTTTGGGGTCCCCCCACATATGGACCCTGAGGCACTTTTGAGGCCTGTTCAGGTCCCTCGGGGGTCCCAACATCTGGATCTTCCTCCACATCTGTGTCACTGTCCCCCAGGAGCATTCCCTGACCCCCCCGGGAGCCCTCCACAGCTGGATCTGCAGGGAGGTAGGGCTGGGTGGCCACATCTGGATCCGGTTCCTCCTGCTCCACATCCGTGTCGCTGTCCACCAGGAGCAAACGACGTCCATCTCTGGGCTCCTCCGCATCTGGATTTAGGGGCACACTCAGGGCCCTTTTGGGAGGCACATCTGGATCCTCCTCCACATCTGTATCACTGTCCACTAGGAGCATCTGATGTCCATCCCTGGGCTCCTCCACATCTGGATTTAGGGGCACACTCAGGGCCCTTTTGGGAGGCACATCTGGATCCTCCTCCACATCTGTATCACTGTCCACTAGGAGCATCTGATGTCCATCCCTGGGCTCCTCCACATCTGGATTTGGGGGCACATTCAGGGCCATTTGGGGTCTCTTGGGGGCCACATCTGGATCCTGCTCCACATCTGTGTCACTGTCCCCCAGGAGCATCCCACATCCAGCCCTGGTCTCCTCCACATCTGGATTTGGGGGCACATCTGGATCCTCCTCCACGTTCGTGTCGCTGTCCACCAGGAGCATCTGCTGTCCATCTCTGGGTTCTTCCACATCTGGATTTTGGGGCACATCTGGATCCTCCTCCACATCTGTGTCGCTGTCCACCAGGAGCAGACGACGTCCATCCCTGGGCTCCTCCACATCTGGATTTGGGGGCACACTCAGGGCCCTTTTGGGGGGCACATCTGGATCCTCTTCCACATCTGTGTCACTGTCCACCAGCACCACCACCAGTGACCTGGGCTGGGAGCTCTCCACATCTGGATTTGGGGGCACACT